TCACAAAAATCACCTTTGAACCCATGACCTTTTCTTTTTGAAGTAGTCCTAAGAGTAAGTGCAGCAGGCTCGCACCCCAGCTCCCAATGCTGAGGTGGCAGTGAGAGCCTGCTGCAAACGCCCCAACAAGCTCCTAAGATGCCTCTTTAGGCTGATGTGGACATCATGTAAGAGGTGGGGCACAGTTGAGCTCCTAAGCGCGTCACAAATTTGTGAGCGCTTGGGAGCTCCTAAGGAATAAAAAACAAATTTTTTACACAAAACCCTACTTTTAGCCGTCAACCACACTAAAAGAGAGATTTTTTACACAAAAACCCATGTGATGTGGCATTGAGAGCTCTCCAACAACCACTCCTAACTATGAGTTTGTTGCACTTGCTCTAAGCCTTGTTAGGGCTCTCCCAACACTTCTTGTCTTCTTTGAGTCCCGCTATATAGGAAAGTTCAACTTTATTCTATAAATTTTCTTACTTGATAGTGTTGTATATTTGTGGCTAACCCCAAAAAAGATAAACTTTAATTATTCAAGTTGTCTTGGGTTCAAATCTCATGATAACCAATATTACATGGCTGAGATTTGAACCCATACCATTTCAAGGACATATAACTTATATGGCAATGTGCTAATCATATAGCCAACTACACAAGATTATCAAATCCCATGTAGTTTATTGATTATGAACTTCACACGATTGTGAATTCCGTGAAAATTAGACTAATTCTAAACTACACAGGATTGGAAATTCCATGTAGTCTAATTTCTGCTAAGCTACATGAGGTTCTCAATCAAGTGTAGTTTTTTGCATTTATTTATCAATTTCGACCCATTTTCTACCAGGTGGCTGAAACTAGGTCGAAAATTGTTGGGCGCAGAGTCACGCCCACCGCCGCGGAAGCGATATCACCTGAGAGAGAGCCCTGGCTTTTGTTTGCACAAAGTACAAGTCAAACTCGATATCTGAGTTTCGCGAAGGAAACCTAGACTCAGTAGCGAAATATCTCAGCGAAGTGAGATATCCACTCTTCCTCTCATCAGCGCAAGACCGAATTTTGAGGGATCCTACAAGCAATAGTCAACAACCCAGAAAACAGTAAATACACGAGATTTACGTGGTTCGGCAAACTTGCCTACGTCCACGGGAGGGGTGAGGGGAGATTCCACTATGAGAAGAACACCGACGACTTGTACAATCCACAAGCTCGTCTGAAAGAAAAAGATCTAATTTTTACCCAAAAGAAATTAACCTCTCTTTTGTAAATCCCTCTTTTTCTCTCCTCAAAATCTCTCTTTTTTAGATCTGAAAAACTCTCTCTTTTTTTTTTCTCTAAAAAACCCTCTGATTTTTTTCTCCTTGCAGCCGAAAACCCACCTCTGCTTTTCTTTCCCGCAGTCTAAGCCGCTGTTCCCTTTGATTTGTTCCCCGCTGCTTTTCCCACACCGAAAACCCTAACAACCCCTAATATTTATAGGAAGCTTAGTGGGCCGGTAAAGAAAACCGTAGCTTGGAGTTGTTTCATTATCACCTCACGCGGAAACTCACCCTCTCACGCACGCGGAAACTCACCCTCTCACGCGGACGTGGGTGTGGCCCACGTGAAACTGCCGTTCACAATTCTCCACCTCGTACATCATTTGATAAACCTCAAATTTTGGACGAACACCAGAAGAACTCCGCGAACTTTACCAGAGAGATCACCATCGGCCAAACCAGCTGCGCCACTTTACCGCGGCTGCCTACGTACCCTCCACCGGGATCAAGCTAACTGTAGTTCTGTAATTATTCTCCAACATAGTCTCCACCTGGGCCATGCCCTCTTGGGCAGTTCAACACGGGCTAATATGAAGCAAGTCCAAGCAATGCTTAAACTTGCCACCTGTGACCACCTTGGTTAACATGTCTGCGGGATTCTCATTCGTGTGCACCTTCATGAGAGAAATATCACCTTCCTCTATGACATCCCGCACGAAATGATACCTGACATCGATATGCTTGGTACGAGCATGATGAACTTGATTCTTCGCCAAGTGAA